AAGAAATGAAGAAAAACTAGCACGAAGAGATTAATGTCAAGGTTGGCTTTGGGCCCAGATCTAAACTTCTGGATGTTCAGCTGGGTAGAGCTACGTGCTGCTCATGGTTTAAACATACTGTCTTTTTCTTCAGCTTTGTGGCTATGTGTTTTTGGTTTCTTGCACTCTATGTTTACAATGTATAATGCCAAGAACTACCAAACAGAACAGTTTGGTAAAACAGTTTATAATATTGATTAGTGATTATCTCAGTGAAATATGTTTGGGAACAAAGGAGATACTTTCTACTATCATTACGCACACTGAGGCTGGGCATGAGAATTGTTGTGAGTTCGAAGGCAGCCTGGGCTACACAGTGATTCCAGGCCAGCCTGAACTGCATAGTGACACTCTGTCTCAAAAACCCAAAACAAAACAAAAAACCATTGTGAATACTGATATGACATTCTAATCATAAATAGTTCAGAAAATGCCATGGCTGATTATACAAAGCACTTTTATCTTTCCCATCATTTTTGTGGACAGAAAGCAGGGAGTGGTAACGTTGACAAACCTTTCTTCTAAAATAGAAGCCAGCCACCTTTCTATAAAAGGCTAGAGAGTACATTTTACATTTTGCAATGCAGACAGGCTATGTTTGAACTACCCAGCTCTGCCCCTACAGGGAGAAAATAACCAGACATTTTATGGGTGTGGCCACATTCCAATAAAGGTTTATTTACAAAAGACTTACCCCACAGAAACATGATAAAAGTAACCTGCACTGAAATTCAACTGTTCAGAGCTGTTTTTCACCTTTTATATACATGTATTTCACTGTACTGACTTCATAGCTTTGTCTTCCATTTTCCTTTATTTCTCTTTTTCTTGAGGCTAGTAGTTCTCACGTCTTCACAATCATTTGGTTGCTAAGACTACTGTTTGCCTTAATAGTGTTTAAAGCCAATGCCTTCTGTCATGCTATGCCTTAAAAAATTCTGACTGCTTAAGCATTACCATTAGATTGAGGAAAGGTTTTGTGGACATGAAGGAAGCACTTTATCTTACTACATGCCAACTAGAAAACCCTAAACAGAGCCAAGTGCAGCAGTAGCGACTATAGTCTTGTTACTGGGCGGGTTGAGACAGAAAGATTATTGAGTCCAGGAGCTCAGGCCAGCCTGGGCAGTACAAGCAAACCCAGTCTTTAACAACAAAAACTGGGTAGAAAGCACAGGGTAGTTATGTGAACACTAGTTAGGCCAGTGATGGCAATCCTTTTAGAGCTTTCGATGACAATAATCGCCTGTGGCACACGTACCACACAAGCTTGCCACTACTGAGTTGGGTGAATTGGAGGAGCCAGCCAAAACGCTTTCTTTTCCCCTTCATTTCTCTCTGGTACTGCTGGGCTGGTTTTAAGCAGCCTAGACTCCTGAACTACATAGCAGGTACAAACAAAAAGCTCCAAGAGAAGCTATTTCTGATCTGCAAAGAAGGGAGCCCCCTTGGGCCAAAGAGTGGGGGCCCCCCTTTTCTATTCCATCTTGCACTTTCACCACCCATGGAGCCCTCTAGCAGCTGTATTGGCCTGGCAGATCCCTATAGCTACAAAGCAGGAGAATCATTCTGAAAAGCAGAACCATGGACTAGAGAGCAAAGAGCACATTTAAATTTTAAAATATTTAGGCAACTTGTTATTTTCCAGCCAGTCTGTAAAATCTAACAAATCATTACTGCCAGACGGAAACTTGTGGGGTAGGCACTGGGAAACAGAAACAGGTCCTGCCTGCATGTGAGGATTCTAGTGGGATTAAGTACTGGAAAGGTAAGAGGATGACTTTAGAGCTGAAAAGGGGGACTAGGGTCATCCAGGTTGGATGACATGGCTCCAGTACTCAAAAGACAGTCCCGGCTTACATACGCTGTTTTAGCACATTTATGAAGTCTTCATTTGCTCTTAAGTGTGGGGATGGGGGGTGGGGTAAAAAGTGCACAGTTAGCACCCTATTTCTAGGAAGAGAATAGCTTGTGATTGGGGTACAGAGAATGGGGACAGACTTCATGTGCATGCTAAAACATGGGCTCCAAAACAATACAACCTCAGCCCTGTCAATGTATGTTTGAATTCAGTTCTTCTTGTTTCTGATCATTCTCTTTACATAGTAAAACCTGTCAGATTGAAGAGGGCTGCAGGAGATCTGGCAATTTATTCTCTGCAAAGTAAAACAGATCTTTACAAAATGAGCGAGCAAGAGCTGCTGAGACAGTTTAGTTCCAATACATTAGCAAAGCATGGAAGTTTTATACAACCATCCCTCAGAATCTGTGGGGGACTGCTTAAAGAACCTCACCTCCCCCACAGCTACTAAAACCAGAGGATGCTCAGGTCTGTTACACAAAATGGCATAGTATTTGTATACAACCTCGGCACAGCCTCCTCTGTACTTTTGTTGCTGTTCCTGTTTTTTTTTGAAACAGGGTCTTCCTATGTAGTTCAGGGTGGCCTTGAACTCCCAGCGATTCCCTGTGGGGTTACAGGCTTCCCAAGTACTCTAAAGCACCTCTACATCAATTACAGTACCCCAGTGAATATTAGGATGTTACTGTTTAGGAAATGACCTGGTGACTGAACCCAGGGCCTTTGCATTGAGTATTGCTAAACTGCCCAGCCAGGACTTAAACTTGCAAACCTGCCTCAACCTCCCAGAGTGCTGAGTACAGGTATGTACCACCACACCAGGCAGTTTCAGGACATTTGACTTGTCAACGATTTCTTGATAATGACCCAAATGCACAGGAATACAAGCATAAGACCACAAATTTAAACACTTTGCAAAGAAAACAGTGAAATAACCAACACACAAAATGGAAGCAAATATTTGCAAATCATATCTGATACAAATACCCATAACCCAACAACAAAAATGATCAAAAAAGTGAGCAGAGGACTTAAATTGACAATCCTAAGACAATGTAGTCAACAAGCATATGAAAAGATGGTAACATCAGCCACAAAAATGCACATCAAAACTCTAATGAAGGTGTGGAGGCTGAGCAAGAAGATTGTTGGGAATTTGACGCCAGCCTGCAGTACATAGTGAGACCCTGTCTCAGGAAATGAATAAATACATACGTACGTACATACATACTATATATAATGAAGCTGGCACAGTGGTGCACTCAAAAAGCTGAAGCAGGAGAATTTCTTAAGCCTAAGAGCCTGAGGAAAAACAGAGAGCCGCTAACTTTTTAAAACACATCACAATGAAGAATCACCTAAAACCCATCATTCGAATGACCATTATCAAAGCAGAAACACCAAGTGTTGGTATGAATGTGGAGGAACAGGAACCATTGCATACACTACTGGTAGACATGTAAATGTGCAGGCATCATGGAAAACAGTATAGAGGATCCTCAAAAAACTGAATTTGTGTTATATAGTAATTCCACTTCTGGGTATATAACCAAAATGACTGAAATCAAGATTTACATACAAGACATCTCTGTAGTCCTGTTGTCACAGAAATATTCACATCAGCCCAGACCTGGAAGCCACCTAAGCGTCCAAACATGTGGTTTATGTGTATATAATGTATCCTGTAGTTTTAAAAAGGAAATCCTGTCACAAGCTAACAAAATGGACCAATGAGCTGGGAAATTATGCTAATACGTAAGCCAGTCATGAGAAGACAAATACTGTATGATCCCACCCAAATGCAATTTTTTTTTTTTTTGAGACAGGGTCTTGCTATGCAATTTAGGCTGACCTTGAACTTGCTATGTAGCAGAGGCTGGCATCGAAGTCATGGCAATCATCTTGCCTCAGCCTCAAGTGCTGAGATCATAGGATATGCCACCAGGCCCAGCCCAAAACAAGTTTTTAATAGTCAAAATCATAGAAACAAACTAAGGTGGTTGGCAAGGGGAGCAGGGATTAGTGTAAACTGTTGAATTGAGTATAAGTTTATCATTTAAAGCATCTGGGAAGATGTGAATAGGTTACATGCAAATACTACATTTCATTTCATTTTATTTTAATTTTGTTTTATTTGTGACAGGGTCTTGCTCTGTGGTTGAGGCTGGCCTCAAAAGCCTTCCTGGTGACCCCATGTGTTGGGATTACAGGTGTGCCTGAGTCACCATGTCCAGCTTACTGCACCATTTGAAACAGGGACTTTCACAAAACAAGAGACTTTGATTTCAGTCTAGGTGGGTGTTCTGGAACCAATTCCCCATAGAAACCAAAAGATGACTGAACAGAGTTGTACAAAATGAAATTCAGTTCTAGACACCTTTTGCACAACAGTGAATAAATATAATTACTATGGAACTGCAACATCCTTGGAACAGTTAAATGACAAATTTTGTGATTTCTCAAAAACAATTTGTAAAAAATGGAGAGCACAGAATGCTGCTAGCATAGCAGAAAAAGGAATTCTGGGCAACTACAGGGTAATATTCAATCACCTGAAAAGTCTGTAAAATGCAGATTTATGGATCCTATTAGTTGAGTCAGACACTTTCTGAGAGTTGCCTAGGGATTTATATATAAAAAGCTCCCAGGTGACTGGGTTACATATTACTTTCTAAAGTAGAAATAAATGCCTGGCTTCAAACCCAATTTACACTGTGTGAAGTCACACCAAAACTTCCCAATTCTCACCCTTAGCACAGTACACGGAAGTCTGTCTCAGATATTCTCACTGCCACATTATATCCAGGCTGCTGTGGTTTTTGGAGGCTGAGGCAGGCCAGCCTGAGGTACATGCAATAGTAAAGACCCTGTCTCAAGAAACAGAAAAGCTTAGGATTCATTAGAAGTTCAATTTTGATGATGCCTTTCCAAGGCAGTTCATTCAGATATCCAGAAAACTAGAATTGCCTCTTTTATTCAAAAAAACTAACCCAGAACCCAACATTTAATTATCATCAGTACTGTTTATCTCAATTTTTTTCCCCAAATTTAAGTCTCTACCAGTACAGTAACTACTACTTTGAATGTGTGTTCTTCAAAGACAGGCGATTTGAAAATCACAGCGGAAACCTCTCTGAAGAGTACAGAGCTCAATTCTTCAACAGGAAGCTCTTCCAACAAAGAATTTACACTAAAAGGACTTTTGGCAGTGTTATGATTCCTTTGGTGTAAATAACTGAAACTGTAATACTGTGCGATGATGTTGTCAAATTAAAGAGTTCAGAATGTTAATACAGGTGTGATTTACTGTCTTTGCAACTCCTCCATCCTTTACTGAAAATTCTTTTAATTTATAAAATTTATAAAGCAGAGGGAGAACACAATATTTCACCAATTCTAAAATGTTATTTTCAACAGTAGAGATTCTAGTTATCATACTTTCATATGTTTAAAAATAAAACTAACATTCCCAAGAACATTTACCCTCTTCTCCACTAAATTCGTACCATATATTAAGATCAGCAAGGTCTGTTAGGAATTCTGATGCAGGAAGAACCTACAGCCCCTTAAAAATCAGATTAAACTATCTTTTCTCGCCAAATTTTACTTTCTAGTTGACTTCCTTTTCAAAGCTGACATTTCTTATTTTTATAAAAGCTTATTTGGTATTTCTGGATACAGACTCAAACTCTATCCTCCTACCTCAGCCTCCAAAGTGCTGGGATTACAGGCATTATAATTATGCACAGGCTATTCTTCTGTTTTTCAATTTAAAATACTGTGTGAAATGAGTGAGTTTTAGAAATCCACTGAGATCATCCATTATTGCTGCTCTTCTCCAGTATAGTGTTAAATTATATTCTTTAACTCAAACTATACTGGCCAAGATTTTCCTTTGCTAAAAATGTGTACCCAATGTACCTGTCACTTGAGAAAGTAAAAACTCATTACTCCCTAATTCAGATTACACTCAGGCTGAATGAGCCCACTAAGAAGATAAACAGCCCACTAAGAAGATAAGAAGTATTTGAAAGTTTAAGATGGAAAAACGTAGGTAGTCTTTTTGTTTTGTCTTGAGATAGGGTCTCACTAAGTAGCTCAGGCTGGCCTTGAACTCTTAGTGATCCTCCTGCTGGCATTACAAGGGTTATAGGCATGCCACATCATGCCTGGCTGGTAGTCATCAAAGAGAAAGATAATAAATTGGACTTTCTGGAAAATCTCGTATGAATTTGTATAAAATATTTCCAATACACATCTGACCAACTAGAAGTGATAGATAATTGGTAGAGGGCTTGCCTAGCACGTGTAAGGCCCTGGGTTTCAAAGGTGATAGGAAAAAAAAATGTGCATTCAATCCCATGCACCAAAAATGAACCCCCAACTGGGCATGGTGGCACGCACCTGTAATCCCAGCACTTGGGAGGCTGATGCAGGACGATTGCCACAAGGTGGAGACCAGCCTGAGCTACAAAGTGAGCTCAAGGCCAGCCTGAACTGTATAGTGGACCCTGCCTCAAAAAGACAAAAAAGAACCCCCAAAAGACCCCCCCCCTACATCTTCATAACCCATCTTTCCTTTCATCTCTGGTCAAGCAAACAATAACCAGGCTTCTGTCAGATTAGGCTGCATTTTCTAGAGTTTACTAATAGAAGCTTACATCTGTGCTTGTCTGGCTTCTTTCATCTAGCATTATTACTGTTTACATTATTAATCATATTCTTGTACATATATCAATGATTTTATTGCTGGTAGTATTCTACTGTATGGATGTATAACAATCTTTATCCATCTGCCAGTTAATAGAGATTTATGTACAGTTGGGAGGTAACTAGAAAGTTGCTATGAATATTTGCAAGGAATTCCTTGTGTGGGTATATTATTTCCCCTGTTTTCTTTGGATACAAATGAATGGACTGGATCACAACAGATGTTTTAACTTTTTCAGAAACTTCCAGGGCTGGGGCTTCAGCTCAGTGGTAGTGTTTAGCACCACACAAGGCCTGGGATGAATACGGCTGTACCCTGTAACATTGTCAGCAGAGCCTGATAGTACCAGCCCTTCCTAACTTGTCAAGTTCTGTTTGAGATAGGGTCCCATTATGTAGTTCAGGCTGGCCTCAACTTGCTGTTATCCTCCTACTTCAGCTGCTTTTAGTGCTGGGATTACAAGCCACACACACCAGCTGTCCTGTCAAGTTTTGATGTCAAAGTTATGCTAACCATAAAAAGATCTGGTAAGTATGTTCCCTCTATTTCCAGGAATACTGCAATACTAATGATTTTTTTCCTTAAATGCTATCACACTACAGGTGAAACAATCCGGGCCTTGAGTTCTTATGAGATGATTAATAACTATGTAATTGTTATAGTAACTATGTAATTTTTATAGGACTATCTTAGGTTTTCCATATCTTCCTGCATCAGTTTTGGAAAAGTATTTTTTCTATGTACTTTTCTGTATCTTTGGCATTATCTGTAGTAATGTTTCTTTGTTTAGCTGAGGTCTGTAGTCTTCTTTCTGTACCTTAATGCTTAACAGGCTTCATAAACGATTTACTTGTTACCCAGTCTGTTAATCTGGGTTTTAAAAAGTTTTCTTCTGGTCTTTTTGAGATAGGGTCCCGCTCTGCAGTTCAGGCTGGCCTTAAGCACACTTTGTAGCCCAGGCTGGTCTCAACTCGGAACGATCCTCCTGCCTCAGCTTCCTGAGTGCTGGGATTACAGGCATGTGTTAATCTGTCTTTTAACCAAGACCTTTACAGTCTATCTACATTTTTATTTATTTATTTTTTGTCTTTTTGAGACAGGGTCTCACTATGCGATTCGGGCTGGCCTTGAGCTCACTTTGTAGCCCAGGCTGATCTCGAACTCCCAACAATCCTCCTGCCTCAGCCTCTTGAGTGCGGGGATTACAGGCCTGCGCCACCACGCCCGGCTTATCTACATTTTTAAAGGACAGTAGGGCAGGTGGTTAAAGCAAAGACAAATAGAACTTTCTGGCTTTCAAATTTTTGCAATTTAAAAACAGAAGGCTAGTGCGTTTGGGTTAAAAAAAAGTATTAAGCTTCCCCATGGTTATTATGAAAAAAGTAACTGTTTCCTATAATCTATGTAAACGGTTTAGAACTAAGCCTGGCACATAGTAAGCATTATGCCGCACGAAAACTTAAAAAAATGAGGCCTGTTACATTTTTGCTACTACGGTGGTTTTCCCCTACAATGCAGGCATTCAAGAAATTAATAGGAACTGCGTTTCCCAATGTGCCTTAAAGTCTCGGAAGCACGTGGCCGCCTGGATTCTCTCCTCCAGTTGCTTTTGTCAAGGGCCGGCAGCAGGGACAACCAACATTCCTAAAACGGCCATTGGCTCACAGCCTGGGGCCAGGCTCCCGGAGGGACCTGGGAGCTCATTGGTCGCCGCCACTCAATGAAGCCGGCCGCGCCGCTCCCTCCGCCACCCTCGCCGAACTTGCGCGCGGGGGAGCCCGGGGAAACCCGCGGCGGGGCCGCCGCCGGAGCAGGGCCCGGGCATGCTCAGTGTCGCCAGAGCGTGTCTAGGCCCCTGCACTCCCACCGCAAGACCACTAAGGGCTGCTCCGCGCGGTCAGCGCAGCTCACTCGCGCGTGCCTGCGGCCGTGCGGGCCGCGGTCCTCCGGGCCAGCTTCAGGCGTCCAGGCTCGGACGCGCTGGGCCTCGTCCCGGGAGCCGGCGGACCGCGCCGCAGCCCGCGCTCCTCCTGCCGGCCGCGCTCTCCGCGGACCCCCGGACTCCGTAACAGGTTACACAACCCAAGGTCACAAGACTTCGGAGCAAAGCTCGGCGGGCCCGCGCAGCCGCCCCCCGCCCTGAACACGCCGGTGCAGAGCGCGCCGGGCG